GAACCACCTTTAGCCGGAAACAGGCCAGTGTCCTGACATGAAGTTGAGTGACAAGGGCAACCCTTCAGTACTGAATGTGTGACTGAACACCAAGTTAGACAACCTCAGACTTCTCATCCTGGTCTGAAATGGTCACCTGAGAGAGATGGAAGAGTTCGCTCAGCCATCAGATCGCATGACCTATTGTTTGTTCTGTGGGGGATACAGCTGGTTTCCCCTGAGGGGCTGGAATAGGATACTCTCTACTTGAGCTGATCAGTGCAAATGAAACCATCGGTATACAAAATGGGGACAACACAACACAAGAACAATATATTTATGAGATGTCAAGTACATTGCTATTTTAATATTTTATAAAATCTGGTTTATTTCTGTGATGGCAATGCTAAATTGTTTAGCAGCCATTACTCCAGTCTTCAGTGTCACATGATCCTTCAGAAATCATTCTAATATGCTGATTTGCTGCATAATTATAATATTATACATTTTGAGCCACTAAAAATAGTAATTATCTTCATATTATTGCTGGTATAACATATAGATTTATTAGTGTTTTAAAGGTTAACTTTAAGTGAGTATTAGAAGACAGCAATGGTAATATACGTGCAAAAATTAGAGGAGTAAGCAAGCATTCACAATTAAATATTGATTATTGCTCTATAAATTAAGAAAAATCTTCATTACCAATATATTGTGAATCCCTAATAAAGAGCATCTCATTCCCTTTGCATTCAGCAATGGCTTGCCTGAAACCTTCCTGACCATCTTCTCCAGCTCATCTGTAAGGATGGAGAGATCAGACGAAAGAGAGGAGCTTATTAGGCGAGAGGGTTGACAGCACACTTGGTATGCATGAGAACGGCGAGAGTAACCTTTTATCAATCAGCTTTCATCACTGACCAGCCCTATTGAGGGAACACGAAATAGGTGGTCAGCAACATTTTTCCTTCTTTTTATTTTACCGGCTTATTGCTGCAGCAGCTAAACCTCTGAAGCCCCTGCTTTTATGATGCTTAGATTGGTTTAGTTAAACGCAATACCATCTCTCATTTACTCTGACCATAGACAGGCAGGTCATTTAGATGTATGCTGTCAATAGTGTCCTTTCAATAAATAATGAATATCTGGTACTGCTAAAAGGGCTTGAGAAGTTTTGGCTGCCGAAATGCTCTGGCATCCCTCTTTAATACACACGGCCTCTCCGGGTCTCCATTGTATTTAAACATGTTCCGGCACAGCGCTTTAGATAAATCGTTCTGTCTCTCAGGAACACTGACTTCCAGGCTTGTGTTGATGTGGAACAGACAGTGAAAGTTCTCAGGCTTTTCAGTGCGCCGGGGGATGGATGGAGGGGGAGGAAGAATGGTGTAGAGAGGCATTTAGCGTTTCACCCCAAAGGCACTCGAAATTCTCGCCCGGTCTTTGAGGTGTCGGGCACAAATAGTCCTGCGAAAAGGGGCAGATGGGAGAGCGATTGGAGGGACACTCGGTTTGGCAGTCTGGCTGGTGGGCGGGACTTTCAGAGATGAAATGTTGCATAAATAATGCCAGAGGGGGGCGCTGGGTCCTCTGTTGCCATGGAGACCTTTGTGGCTGACTGAGCCAGTGTTGTGCGCGAGGCGCTTGGAAGCTGCGGCTGGCAGACCGGCCGCGCCTGTAATGAGTTGAGGAATTTCTCTAATGGGAAGAGCTAAGTGGAAGGATGGTCGACGGGTTGGCTTTACACTGATCTCTGCGACCGGTTGCTCAGGTGTGTGGTGTGAGACGAGGTACGGCTATTTTGTCCTGATTTGTGCTGGGAAAGAAAGGAAGAAAATGTTTGTGATTTTAAAGGTTGAGTTTGAAGTTTCTGAACTTTAACTGGATTATATGTATGCTTTGCTAATTAGTGATATCCGGTTAAGATGTTCATGCAAGTAGTTTTTTTCTTTTGCTTTTAGACATCTGTTGTGTTTCTCATTAGGTATGGTACAGTATAATACAGCAAAACAACCCTATTCATTGGCGCTAATTCTCATTGATTGGATTTCCAGCCTTACTTATACTGGTTTTTATTGGTAGATTTTAGTCACACTTAACTGTCAGTTCTCATTATGTTATTTTTAAAATTTGAATTATGCATTAGTTTGCATGTAAAGGATTTCCTTGCAGTTCTTTTCTTTTAACTATGATCAACAGGTGCTGCTGGTTTATCTTCATTATTAGTGGTTTGCGACAATAATTCACCTTGTTTGATAGTGTTGTTGCTCCAGAATATCTGATCAGAGGATTAATATATTAACATATTAATTATTTTTAATGAACTTTTTTCCAAGACGTTTGAGTTCCCCTAAGAAACTTTGCACTCTCAAAGTTTCTTAGGGGAACTCAAAGTTTCTCTGAGAATTTGCTTGCACAACTTTCTCTGTCTCAAGACGTTTGCGTTCTCTCAGAAAACTTCAGAGAGAAAGAGAGAGAGTGCAAAAGTTGCACGAGTGAAAGCAAAGTTTGTCAAAGCAACAATGCAAGAAAAATGCAAAAGCGCAGCATTATAAGTCTTCCTCTCATTGCATTCTAATTTTTTTTCATCACCATGTCCCCTTTTAATGCTTTGTATATTTGTGAATGTTTTTCATTGATGATGCAAAACACAGAGTTTCTAATTGATTGATTAATACAGACAGATTGAACTGATTTAAGCTAATGAACAAACTACCAACTCAACTGTTTTTGAATTTTAAATAAGAGACATAAGACATAACAATGTCTCTGTGCTTATATACCCGCATGTAATGTGACGGGAGGGAATGCAAAACTAATTTTATGACACAATCTTTAGAAAGCATAGTTGCCAAGTGTTGCACATTACAATCGTAGCAATATTCACAATGTTGCTTTATCTCCGACAAAATGTATTGTTATTATTCAATATATTGCTCAGACTAATCTGAAAAGAGCTCTGTTAAATGGCGAGCACAGCCATGCAAAGGCATCTTTCTTTGGATTTAATTACTTACAGTAGGATGTATCTCTCTGTGGGCAGGATGCATTCCACAGTCCATATCCTCTTTTAATGTGTCAGTGTCCTGAACTGCACAAATGTGAGAAGCGAAAAATCTTATGGGAGAAGTGTGAACGGTGTGAGAAAGAGAGAGCTGAGAGAGCAAGACGGAGAGGAAAGCAGTTTAATTTATTGCACTTCTGTGGCTTGTTTGTTGGCTTAGAGCTGGTTGGTTGTGATTAAGTGCGGATGAAGAGGGGTGTTTTGGAATTGAAAATGGATAAAAATGGATAAATTGTTGTTTTGGTGTCTGGAAATTGGGCCTGGCTGGACACACCATCATTTGATTCAGTCCACAAATGGCTTTCAGAGCTGGATCAATAAACTCTCCAATTGTACGACCCTCGTATGCATGTGGTTACGGATCAGACCCCCATCGACCCTCCTGCCCAGCTGTAATTAAAGCAGGTACCGGTGACAAGAACTCCTGCTGTGGAGCGTCTGATTGTTTTCTGAGTTCGAATTTTATCTCCATTTCCCTGTTCTGGACTGTTTCTCAACCCTGATGTGCTGGAATAAAAACACTTTGGGGTCTCGTGCTGGTCTTTTGTCCTTCTCTTAAGGCTTCTCGTTGGAGGAAGCACTGTTTCCTGGTGCCGGGCTTCAGGCTCTAATCTTGGCTGCCTGGAGGGGGCAGCTTGGGGCTGGCTGTCTAAGTGATTATATGTGCCGTCCGGTTATGGAATGGGCCTTTATTGGTGCTGATGGTGCACTTTCTGTCCCAGCTGGGGCGTTAGTGGTGATTATCATCTCTCAGGGCCGGCCGGAGTTCTGCCTGTTTGATTTATAGCTGGCGGGCACGCTGCTCCACAAATTCTACAGAAGTTTCTCTATGGGACGAGAGTTTAATCTAATCTAAAATAAGTTTGTAACTCAATATAATTATAGGAGAGAACAAAATGTGCCCTCTATAGGAAATTTTAAAATGACATATTGAATGTAATTAGTGGTTCTTGCTTTAGGCTTTATTGGATTAGGCATATGAACAAACCTCCAACTCTAAGTACTAGTGTGTTACCTCAGATTGTCCAGAAGAAGATATTTTACTTTTCTAAATGATCAGATGTACAATTTTTACCTAGTGGATAATAAAACAGACAAACAGATCCCATAGACCTGCATTGAAGGAGGAACGTGAGCCAAATCTAGAGACCCGAATAGATTAAACAACATGCTGAAATGTCTTGATTCTGATTATTCTTGATTCAATTAGATTCTGATCTCAATTTGATTCGATATGAGTTCATTTGAATCGATTCATTCACTATATCAGGTACAGTACATGTTAATTTTTCTAAAGGAAACAAATCTCTCTCAACTGAAGATGTAAAATAAATAGGGAACCCTGTCAGTTGGTACATTACTAACGTTAAAACAACATTTATTGTTCGAGTTCCCTGAGAATTTGAAATCTGAGACTGTTTCTTATGAAAATTAACAAAGAACAAGCTTAGTGTGATTATTGAATGGCAAGCACACTACAAATAATGTTTAGTGAAGTTTTGTTCATGCATCAACAGACAACAAAATAGACTAAAAGACTTAAAGACTTAAAAGACTTAAGGATTTAAGAATCGATATCAATATTGTTAAAATAAAGATTAATCAATATTATCCATCCAGCCCAACCAACAACTACATGGCAAAATGCAAAAACAGTAAGAACACATTAGAAGCCACATTAGAAAATGCATAGCAACACGGTAAAACACTCAGAGCACATTAACAAATACATAAGAACGCTTTAGCATAACAATAGCAACTTTTGCACAATTAAATACCACTTATATTTTTTTCAGAAAATGGACAATATTAGTTCAGCTGTTACTGTCAGCTGTGTACAGTTTTAATAAGAATGTTGTATTTCAGTAATCTTCACATGTTTGTAGTACAAGCGATGTAGAGTAATGGCGCTTAAGGAAATTTGTTAACTGACCATCTCTCTTTCTCTTTTTCTCAGGAACTGCAGTTTGAAAGATTAACTCGAGAGCTGGAGGCGGAACGTCAGATAGTGGCTACTCAGCTGGAGCGATGCAAACTGGGATCTGAGACAGGTGGCAGCATGAGCAGTATCAGGTAATGCTAATGCACTGTGTGGGAGTGTGCAGGTGCTATCGAATGCTTCAACAAGTCTGTATAATGAGACCATGCTGCCTGAAGGATGTAATTGTACGGTTAAGGAAACTCTGACAATATTCTTGACTTCTTTGTGCAGGGGTCAGAGTGGAGTTCATGCAATTTCAGGTTCATAATGTGATTTACATACAGCACCGTGAATTTGTATATGAAAGAGAGAGTGTACATGAGTGCGTGGGTCCACATGTTGGTGGATTTCCATCTGCGGATCTAAATGCTAATGTTTTTGTCTAGATGTGCACATGTGATTCTGTCACATGAGGTTTCACGGGTTAAATATGTGTGTGTGCATTTGTGAATTGAGATACTTTGTACTTTCTTTAAAAAAAAAATGCATGCATAAAAAATTAATCTAAGGGGAACCAGTTTCCTCTTAAGTGACTGTCACATTAGCTTCCTCAACATTCAATAGCAATTAACATCATTTAGCTTTAGTTAACATTCCTCACACTTGTTAATTATGTGCATCTCTTGGAGGCTTGACCTTCCAGGAATCTGGTGTTGAGAGTTTCTTGGTTTTATTGAAAGAGGAAGGGAAGCGAAACAGTGGAGGACTAATGAAATCTTGAGCTTCTTAAATGCACTGTATGAAGATGTTTGACTGTTGAGAATTTCACATCAGTAGGACAATGTGTGCATGTAACTGTGCAAAACTAGAAGGTAACTTGTCCTTCATTTTTACCACACATTTTTACTCCCTATTCACAATGTCTTTTATGAAAGGAATCAGTCTTTATCCGGTCCGAAGAAACAGCAGGGCAAGAAAGAAATGAAGTCCTGCTGCGCTCAGAGCCTCAAGGTTTCCATTGAGAGCTTGTGCGGGAAGGAAGCTATAATGTTACTCTGCTACATAATATTGATTTAGCCTTTTAATTTGCCATAAGTGAACCGTTGCACAATAGCTGATTCAGATTTTCATTCAGCTGATCGTTCCAGAGGCCTTCTGTGAAAAACACTTATTCAAACCTGCTCTCTCGTGGTGTTGCTCTGTTTGTGGTTTAAGTTATGATTGACTTGTCCACAAGAAATGCAATTCTTAATCAGTAGCGCTTTCTATGAAGCTGTGCTGTGCTCGGGTCCTCCTGCGATATTCCTACCTATGCGAGGAAACCGTAATCATGACGGTTATGGCGTTATTTTAATGACAAATGTCGAGAGCGCATTATTGTAGCGCGAAAGCACATTAATATAATGCGCAAGCGCGAATCTCTCCGCTCGCGCGCGGATTTCCTTTGCTCTCGCATAATATCTATAGTGCATGAGCACAGAGAGATTTGAGAGTGCACAGGACACACTTTGAGCTAGAGGAGAGACACGTTTTAAGCGCGCACGCTCAGATACACGCTGCTCTCGCCCAGAGAGAGTGCGTGCGCTTAAAACGTTTCTTTCGTCTGGTTTTGTGCGAGAGCAAAGGAAATTCGTGCGCGAGCGGAGAGATTTGCGCTCGCGCAATATATTAATGTGCTTTCGCGCTACAATAATGTGCTCTCGACATTTGTCATTAAAATAACGCCATAGACGGTTGGTCAAAATGAAAATCTGTCTTCTCATATACAAGCTGCATATACAAGTCAGAATACAATTGAACAATTTAAGAAAATGAAGCCTTTTTGGATTATATTTTCATGACCTTTCTGTATTTTTTTTCTCCTGCATTTTTACCATCATGTGTCTGGGTGTTTTAATTTCATCCCTTCACTCCCACCCCCAGTATTTATTTTCCTTTTATTTCTGAATATTTTACAGTATTTTATTAATTAAATCAGGATAAATTAAATGCAGCACAACAAATATTATTTAATTACTTTAGCATTATTTTTGTATTATATTACAAAAAACTCTGTATTGTATATTTAAAAAATATTATACAAAAACCTTTACGGTCCCACAAATACACCTCATTAATTTATTATGATTTATTCTGTTAGATTCACCCAATAATCATTTTACATAAATAATAGTAACCACTGCTAGTAACCTTTATTAAAAAATAAATAAATAAATAAATAAAAACCGTATATTGCATGTTTAGTACCAAATTTTGTGTATTACGTATTATTCTGTTAAATGCATATTAACATGGCTACAATTATTTATGAAATGATAACAGACAGTATGTTAAATGTCATTATGAATGCTTTTATATTCCATATATAAACAGCAAGTGTTACTGTTTTGTCTTCAATCTTTAGTTGTGTGTGTAGATTTCTGCTATCTGGTACATATTGTTGGGTTTGATATTTGAGCCAGAGAGACACGAAGCCAGTGTCTGCTAGCAATGACTTATCAGTCTGACAGTTTGGAAGCCTGAACAAACTGGAGATGCTATTACAGTAGACTGGCCTTGATTGTCAAATGAGTCTCCTGGGAATTCTGGGTAGAGTTGATAAAGATACTCTCGGCTCACAGGGAAGGTGCATGCTTGCATTGACACACCGAAAAAGCCAAAAAAAAAAGTACAGTTCAAGTTGTGGTAGACTGAAGCCTGGGTAGTTTCTGGATGGACTTTAAGATGGTTATTTTCTGAGCGTGAACTAATCTGAAATGTGTCTGCTAAACTTTTCATAGAGCGTAAAAATGCAAATGAGACATTTTCGACTGTAAACATGGCACCACATGTCTTGTATAATTGGAAACCTCATGGCCAAAAAAACAATTTAAACCGGATGCACATTTCATTTCTCTTTTTGCTTGTGCTTTTCTATGTTTTCAGTGGCAGCACACAGAGTTGAGTAAATATTGAGCGTGATTCATGTGTGTTAATGTGTTACTGCTGTAAATCCAGTCACTCTCTGGCACTGGATCTGTCTGGTTCACTGCTGTCTGGAACACGTCCTACCCAATAACGTGATTACACACAAACACATACCCAGTCACTTTTCCTTCTTCTGTGGTGTCATGTTTTCCTCTATTTTGGTTTGGTGGGAACTCTCCTAAAGCAAAACTAAGTTTCTAAGTTGATTTTTAACAGGCTCACATGTAAATTTTATTAAACGTTCAGCACACGTCTATCACGGCTCTCTCATCTCTTTCAGGTCGGATGGTAAAAATATTCTGAGTGAATAACCTTTAGTCTTTATTCTGTCAGGAGACATCGCTTCCGTTTGACAGTCAATCTCCTGATGCTGAGCGTTTGGAAATAACTTTAAGGAGAGATAGCAGACATCAGGAAGTGAGATAGGCCTGCTTCTCTCAATCAACTGCTGCTTCCCGTCAGCTCTCCTTTTGGGCATTTTCGACAGACCCCAAGTACATTTATATAGTAGGTACCTTTACATGTTTGACTCGAAGATCCCCCACATTCTAGACAATATTTAAAGCCCCAATACGATATTCTGTACTTCTGATGTAATGACAGAAGTAAAGCCATCTTTTTATCTGTCATAGGCATATTTATAGAACACATAATTTTCGGGAATCTTAGGCATGTTTTAAATAAATATGTGTGGGACTAGCCAACATTTATGACACACAAAAATGCTGTCTAGGTAGGCATCTCAAAATTTTGAAATTAGCCTTGGTTTACCCTGGATCTTAAAGATGTCTTCATTCAAAACGGGCATCACTTGGATTAGTTGTTTGACTGCTTTCAGTATTAGAATTTGGGTAATTCATAGTGCACAGATGTTAGTATGGAGAAGATATGAACATCCTCAATATTAATATTAAATGTTGCATGCATGTGTGTTGATGCAGTGGCTCTGTGTCTATAGCCCCCTTTCCTTTCTTTCTCTTCCTCCATCTTTTTTTCTCAGTGCCTGGGGAACAGCAGGCAGTGTTTAGTAAAAGGTCATCGCTGAATAACATGTCTGACTGTGTGTTCTCTATGTGGCCGATTCCCCCCAAAGGTCTCGGCTCTCTGTGCATTTCCATTTTTCACTCAAAATTCCTCTCACTCACTGCATATTAAAGTCAGCTGGAGGCTTTCAGACAAATTTAAATCTGTGTGCTTTAAGGTGCAGAGATCTACGGGTTTGAAACAACATGAGGGTGAGTAATTAATGATATAATTTTCATTTTTGGGTGAACTAACCCTTTAACAGATCTCTGCACCTTAAAGCACTTTAAAGGCCTGTTTCCACCTCAAAGTTAAAAGTACAACACGTAATTGTGAAATCGATTTAACATGAGAAATAGTTGCAATTGTGAAAAATAGTCACAGTTGTGAGGGGAAAAAAAGTCACTGATTTTGAATTGTGAGATTTAACATCATAAATATATGAAATGGAGTCGTGGTTTGGTGAAATTCACATAAATTGTGACACTGTAAAGGTACAGTTTACTTGCTTACTAACGGATCCTCTGCAGTGAATGGATACCGTCAGAATATGAGTCCAAACAGTTGAGATCACAGTCTTGTGAAGTGAAAAGCTGCATGTTTGTACAAAACAAATCCATCATTAAGGCATTTTAACCTTCAACTGTTGCTTCTGGCCAAAATACCAATCCATAATCCATAATAATGCTTCCTCCAGTCCATCCCCTGTTGTCCTCTCATATCACTGGCATATTTGTTGTAGAACTGTTTTGGACTGTTTTCACTTGTAAATGCTGTTTGATCTGTGCATATTTCTCTCCTGATTCAGACAAGATGATCTTTTTATTGGAGAAAGCAATATATAGGTATAGGGGTTTGAAGTAAAAAATGTCTTGATGGATTTGTTGATTACAAACATGCAGCTTTTCACTTCATAATATGTTAATTGATGGACTGGTGTTGTGTGGATTATTGTGATGTTTTTATCAGTGTTATGGAATTTTGAAAGTTATCACTTTAAATGGTGAGAAATAAAGACTCTGAAAGCAACTGTATCTAAGAAACAGAAGATTTATTCTCGCAAGAAGGTCAAAGAGTCATACAGTGCATCTGCAGAGTGTGTGAAAAAAGACAATCCTTCGTCCAAAAATCTTTTATGCTCCAAACCAGTGGTTTTAAATTC